TAGCAGGGAAGACACAGTAAATATGTAGAAAGAGAAAACAAAGCAACTCTGGAAGCTTCAGAGATGACATTTGTTTTAATTACATAGGCTCCAGCTGCTCATACTGGGGAGGAAAAAGGGTCACTCTGTTATCGCTTTCAAATTTTGTGGAAATTGTGAGAAAAGCTTGAGAAGTTTTCTTTCCTCTCGTAGTTTTTAATGTCAGTATACATCCCTTCAGCTATTTAGATTCAGAAATTTTATTCATAAGATTATTAGATGCAGGAGTTAGAGATTTTGCTTTGCGCTTTCCAAAGTATTGGCTGGTTATTTGCTGTTCTTTCAGTCCTTCCTGTGGTACTGTTGAAGTCTCTTGCTTTCTTTACCTTCTACTGTTCTGCCCCAGCCCTACAGCACGTAGCCTTGCCTCTCAGATGTGCTCTTTGGTGTTGTCAGTTCACACTGCCATTCACCTACACAAACACAAAGGAAAACTCCAGGAGTGCACTACCTCAACCTTGGCTTCCTCCAGCAGGAAAGGAGGATTGTGCTGCATCTTAATAACCGAGCAGTAGCCGAGCATGATCTTAGTATTTGATAAGAGAGAGCCATGACAGCATCACAGCCAATATCCAGCAAACATAAATGCAACGATCATTTTATTGTTAAATAGCATGCCACACTTTGTATACTGTGGGATTTTACATTTTTACCAGCTGAAGTTTCATCCCTTTGCAAATATGAAGAGAAATGTAAATTTAAAATTCTCACCCTAACTGAACAAGTGTATGCATTCAGAGCCCTCTCTGCTTAGTGTTACTTTAGAAAATTACTATCCTCTAATCCTCACTCCTCTTAGCCTTCACAGCCAGCGTAACTGTGCAGGAGACAACAGGAGTCTGCCCTGGCTCAGCAACCGCTGACAGCCTCACAGCAACACGCCAAACTCAGGACCAGGCTCCCTCCTTATGGAGTCCCACTTGAAAGAACAGAGATCACCAAATTAGGCAATTATTTGCTTACGTTTTTTAGAATTGTCTTTGGGAAGATGTATTTCCCAATATTGTATTTCTTGCTTAGAAGTATCTACCGATCAGAATAACATTCATGATTCATGCATGCAAGTGTCCTGACAGCATTCTCAGCCTTTTGTGGGACAAAAATGGTAACATAGAAAAGTTATGCAATTTGAACATTAATTTCTAAATGTTTGCGTTTGTAAAACTCAAAACTCAAAAAATGACTGGACATCAAGATATCACTATCTGGCATGTTTTGACATTAGTCACAGACTTCTCTGTAGTGATGAACAGAAATGGTCACTTGCTTGACATCTAGTTAATGTGTTCAACAGTTCACGTCACCTTCTGATACGTGTCAGCTGACATCTGTCACTTACAGGAACATTTCTTAGTGTAGTGACCAAAGAACTAATAAAATGCTGAGATGAAAGCTAAGGAGTATTTAAACTGTGCACCATTCTCTTCTGACACACAGGGACAAGTTAATCTTTCATAAAGGGAGCAAAAGCTATGCCTCCTGAAGGTGTGGGCAGACAATGCGTTTCCTCTGGGGGCAAAGCCAGTGTGTTTCCTGTTCACAGCCTTACAGTACAATTCACTGCCAGCAGACGCTATTTTTAATCTGCATCGTTTCAGTGACCTAATTTGTACCCTGCCTCATGCACCCTTTCAAAACAGAGAGAGTGACAGAATATGATGCAGGGGTGGGAATGAGTGAGCAGGGAATGAGTCCTGGTTTTCAGAATATTTCTAAAGTGAAAATACAGAAAGAGAGAGAAAGAACTCCTAGCATTCAAGTTCTTTCTTAACCGGTATAAAAGAGGCTGGGGAGCATCAAACATAATTTAACTTGTAAATATTTTAAATAATTAAAAATACGCCTCACTT